TGAGTGTGTTGTGTGTGTGTGTGTGTGTGTGTGTGTGTGGAGGGGGGGGGGGAGTATTAAAGGATTATTTTATGAAATGACAAGACTGACTTCTGCCTCACTGGCTCAGTTTTTTTAAGAGGTTTTTTAGATCACAATGAAAGAGAATTCAGGGTAGTTCAGAAAGATTGTTCATAAACATATGTTCTTTAACTAAAACTAAATCTGATCTAACAAAAAATTCTCTTAAGTTAATGTCTCCTTGAATGTCAGAGTTTTAGGGAAAGAGTTTAAGCAATGCAATCATTCATTAACTCCAGTAATAATATTGGCTTACAGAATCTGTCTGTACAAAGCTGTAAAAACACATAACTGATTCCCCCCCCCCACCCCGCACTCCCCTTTGCCTGGAATGTCTTTTCACTGTAGTCCTTGATCTTGGTGACAAATCTGTAGAGAATTATGAAACTGGTCTAGGCGAGAGACATGTCTCACTATAAAACACTGGAAAGCTGTGTATATGTTGGAGGCTACTATATACTGGCATTGATCTAGGTGCAGAACTCTCATGGACATCACTGGTTTTGTGCAAAAATTTAGGACAGTGTTAAAGATATATAAATATTTTTTTAAAGAGAAATGCTTTAGTGCACTTTGTATTTTTTTTTTTTAAAAAGTGTACTCATTCCCATGAAAACCAGAAGTGTGACAGATACTGTGGATCAGATACAGGGCTGTATCTAAACTGTGCTTAGTGCAGCTTGCGAAGGAAAGAGGGGTAAAGGTGCTTTAAGGTGCCAGTTATGTCTCCTCAGGCTGACTGCTGACTAGCTGCAGACCCAGTGCTCCGAATTCAGCAGTGTTCTCAGGGCTACTGTACCTCAGGGCTACTGTACTCTATTCTAGTTTTCAATTGCCTGCTAAATGCTTTGGCCATGCCACCTTTTCACTTAGCTATATTCTGAATAGCAGTGACTGGGAATGGCGGGGGGGAGTGTAGCAGATGCCAATTTGAGGTGAATATGCTCTTGGCCAGATTCTACTGGGTTTATGGTGCTTTGTGCTGATGGACTGGAGAAAAGTGGCTGGTGAATAGCCAGGAATCTGGTTAATAATTCTCTAAATTCAGCTTTCTTCTCTATCCCTCTCTGTCTGTGAATTATCACTAATTCAAAATAGTAGTGTGCAAGTTGACTGGATAATGGTAATAGCATAATCTCTTGTTATAACATTGTAAACCCTACTACCTGATTTTTATATTAAACACTTACTATACATAATACAATAAATCTGACAGAAACAAAACCTAAGAAAACTTTATTCTTTCTGTGTCTTACTTAAAGTTTTCCAGTAATCTCTTGCTTCAGAATGCCTCCTGCATCACCCATGCTGTTTGCAATAGGATTCAACCTGTGAC